ACGCTTGCCGTGCACCTTGCTCATGATGTTCTTGTCATAGTAGTAGCGCAGAGCGCGGCTCAGCTTGTCGTAGTTCATGTTGGGCTTGCTCTTGCGCTCGCCCCAGCGCCGCGCCACCTCGTCTGGGTCCGTGAGCTTGAACTCGCCGTGGCCACCCTCCCAAGCGATGCAGCCGGCATTCGCGCGGTCCGCCAGCAGCTCCAGCAGAAACTGCCACAGCTGGATCTGCCCGCTCCCTGTGGGGAGGGCGGCAATCGGTCACAGGCGGGATGAGGGAGGCTGGCGGCGGGGGAAGAGGTGAGGAGAGAGACCCACCCATTTAGGGGGATGAGGGAGAGGGAAGAAGGACTGCTGTCAAAGAGGAAAAGGGCACGTCCAGCTGTGTAACTGACGGTAGCTGGCGAGGATTGCAGGGAGGCGCTGATTAGCAAAACCGTCCCTAGCCAGTACCGCTCTTTTGCACAATGGAAACGCAATTCCCACTTGGAAGGACGCAGTCCCGCCGGCGCACAGCTTTGTGAGAATTGGGGGAAGCGGGGGAAGCACCACCTCCTCTATAAGGAGGCAGCGGCTCACCAAGGCACATGGCTTTCCACTGTAAGCAAAGGCCAGATATCAGCCCCTCGGTTGAGCGCCCTTATTCAGTGAAGAACCTGCACAATCGCACAGGATAGCCTACGTAGGTGGTTGGATTGCCGCATCCCAGCTAGCCCAGAGATCCAGAGGGAAGAGGGAGGCCTGCAGCAGGATCGCTTCCGCCGCTGGACAAAGCATACAGTTGTACCCCCAGCCTGAGGTGGAGAAGAGATGGTGGCTGGCTTTCCTGCGGTACCAGGTCAGACACGAATGGAGACAGTGGCCCCCTATGTGTGAGAGGAATGGCAGCCTTTGAAGGCTCCCCACCCTTGCCAGCGATAGTTTGGCCTCTTTTTTTCGGAACAGGCGGGATTCTCAGCACATCAAGGAGTCATACTTCCCTGGGGGTGTGATGCACAGCTCTGATGAGAGGAGATGAGACCAGGAAGCCTCTGGGCTTGGCTCCCTGTCTCCTCCCATCTTTGGTCAATCTCCAGGTTCTTTGGCCCCATCTGGATTTTTGGGGGTTGCTAGAAGTGGCCAGGAGGTTTTCCCTGGATAAGCAGGTGATGAGAGAGAATTCCCACTTCCCTATTTTGCAGTCTCAATCAGACAAGTGGAGAAAAATCTTGATAGAATCCCCCCCATACACACACACATGCAAACACACTCATTTTCAGAATAAAATGGATTTTCCTCAAAGTTGTCTGATTATTGTTTCAAATTGAGCCCAGCAAACCTCTCTTCTTTTTTCAGTGACTCGGTGAGAACCCAGATGCTGCCCTCCACCCTGATTTCAACCACATTCCCTCCACACCAGCCAAGGGAGGATGTACCTGGCTTCAGGTCAGGAGCGTTGAATTTTAGGGTCAGAAGAATGGGAAGGTTTGAATAAAAATGTGCATCTGGTACTGAGGGACATAGAGGCTTGGAAACTCATTCCTGTTGGGTGTTATGTCCCCTTTTGCATACAGCAGTTGCCGACCTTATTTTTCTGGTTACTGTAACTTGGTGAGATCTAAGGTACTGACTGGGTGGGGACCTGTGGAGACGCTTTGCCTAGAAGGCCGGCCAGGTTCAGCTGCCAATAAAGGACAGCTGAAGGTAATTTAGCGGCCAGCAGAGAGCTGACTGTGAACCTGGGAATCAATTACAATGGCCCAGAGGACTTGGCCAGCAGAGCCTGGCTGGCGGGAGCCAGTGGGGCAGATAGGTGATGGCCCCGGTGCTAGTGGTGACTCTGCCTGCAGTGTCCAGAGAGCGATTCTCTGGGTAATTCTCTGGGACATCAGGGAAAGGACACCAAGCGCCTCAGCCTCCCAGCCCCACATCTCGAAAACCTTCAAAGCCCAAAAGTGGGTAGTGGGGACAGGGTTCTCTCTGTCTGCTTCGGCCTGCAAGTTCAACCCTGGGTCTCAGAAGATGAAGGAGCCAAAGGCCAAATGAATGTTCCCCTCTCCCCTCGCCATCCTCCCCACAATCAGGCCCAGACCCTCTGCTTCCCAGAGCCCAGCAGTGCACATCACTCCCACCCACTCTTCCGGTGGCAGTGGAGCCCATCCTTCTGGGGTGGATGCCCCGACCCAATCCACTGTCCTCGCCTCGGCCCTTCCAGTCCGCCGGTCAGCTCACCTTTTTGCACCGCGGGGCTCAGCGGCCCCCACCCTGGGCTCTTCCCTTCCTTGAAGAGACCATCTCCGACGGGATCTGTGGCAGCAGAAGAAAACAGTCAGGCGGACCCAGGCGGAGGTTGCGGGCTTGACTGAAAGGGACCCGGACCAAGGCTCGAGAGGGAAGAGGGGGTGCCTTAGTTCCCCGGGCGCGAGGCTGGGGGCCCGAGCCGTCCGACTCCTCCTCCCGGAGCCTGGCCCTGGCGCGCGCCGCGCGGAGCCCCTCCATAACGCCCAAGTCAGGAAACGCGTCCAGGAAAAAGGAAATCCGCTTTCCGAACGGGCCGGCGGGAGCCTTATAAAGCCGAGCGGGGTTTGCGCCAGCCGAGCCGGAGCGCGCGGAGCCCATTGGAGAGAAAAGGGCGCCTGGAAGGCTGGGCTGGTGGGAATGCTCGGAGCATGGAGGTGAGGAGCCACCAGGGTGCAGGGGCGACGCCCGGCTGACCACAGCCTCCCAACACTGCACGCGCAATGAGTCCCCGCCACACCGAAGACCTCTGCCCTCTACCAGGCTTTCAGACCCTGGGCTGGCGCTCTCGGCTTCCCAGGCTCCTAGTCTGCTCACTTCAAGTCCTCTATACCTCGCACTAAACCCCCAAAGCTCTCCGTCTGGTTTTAAGGTCTCCCTGTACCCTAGTCTCCACTACCCACCGATCCGAGTCTCTGGACAGCTACCCCTTCCCTTGGGCCCCAGCATCCCATTCCCATGCCCCAACCCAGACTTCCCGACCCGAGTCCTGGTGCCTCCAGCCCCCGGCTGGTCCCTGGTACCTGGCAGGTACATGTTGATCAGCAGGGGCTGGGAGGCGCCGCTCTGTCTCATCGCCGCCAGGGACTGGGCGGTGGGAGGTGGGGGGGTGGGGAGGTGAGAGAGGGGGATCTCGTCAGGCTTTGCGCTCCGGGGCAACGATCCCCGCCAGAGGCGACCGCGGGTGACTGGGAGAAGACGGCACTGGGTCCGGCAGGGCCTGGCGGGAGGGGGCTGCCCGGGTGTGGCAGGGGATGGAGGGGGTCCTGGAGCGATGCTCCCAGCTACCAGGCTGCTTGGAACCCTCCGGCCCCCTGAGCGGGCAGGGGCCGCAATTTCCGTTTTAATTAAAGTGCTGCCGCCTCGGCCCCCCGGACCCCGCCCCCGCCCCTCTTATCGCCCCATCGCAATAAAGTCTCCAACGCGCCGCGCGGCAGCCAAGCGCACCCAGCAGCCCCCAGCACCCCGCAACCCGGGAGACGCGCGGGGGATGGGCCTGGGCCTCGCGCTCTGATAGGGGTCAGGAGGACATTTCTTTTCCGCCTCCCTGACTCTGAGCAAACAGAGATGGGGCGGGGTACCGGGCCCCACCTCGGACCCCCGGGGCCAAAGTGCCCCCACTCCTTCCCACCCATTCCCCCACCCCCTCACCGCTCTACTCTCCTCCCCCTTCCTCCCCCCACCCCCACCCGGGTTCCCGTCTCCAGGCTGCGTTATCTGCATCTTCACTTTTAAATTTCCGCTTCCCTCCCTCTCGCCTGTCGCTTCGCTCCAGGCCGGCAGACGTTGCTCCCTTTATCTCCGCTCCTCCCACCACCTATCCCCGCTACTTCTCCCTCTCGTCTCCCACTCTCCTCTCTTCCCTGGAGACCCGATCTCCTTCCCTCTCTCCCTCTTGCTTTTGCATGTTTCCTTCCTTTCTGGGGCTCCCAGGCCTCTGGACCAGTGCTAGGCCGTCTACCCTACAAATTTTTAGTGGGTTGCCCTTCGTCCCCCTTCCTAGGTCTCTCCTTCCATCTAGTCCCTTCTACTCCCTTCTCCCCTCATGTCTCCTCTGTACCTCTCTGTACCATCTCTCTCTTTCTTTCCCTTTTCTCATTCATTTGTTCCCCACTAATTTGTGGCATATGGTTGACTCCTGATCCCCCTTCTACTCTTCCCCAACAACTATTTCTTTCCTATCTTCCCCCATCCCTCATCATCCCAGCCTACCATTTGACCTCACAACTACTCTCATCCTGGTTATCCTTGAAGTAGGCTGCAATTGTCTTCTTGCTGTAGTAGTAGAGAGGTTAAAATGGGCTTGTGCACTGTACAAGGATCCCAACCCAGGAGTAAAAATACATCCACCTTGAGAAAGGGCAAAGATACTGATTGGGTATTAACAAAGCTGATGTGGTTCCCAGGTGTCCTGGAGTCTCTGGGTTCCTGTGGGGCTTCCTGGCCCTGAGGAGGCCCTCCAAGGAAGGATCTGGCTGAAAATGAGGCTCAGGGCCAGGAGCCCACCTGCAGCCATGCAGCACCTGATGGCTCTTGTCAAAATTGGTAATCTCAAGACTTTTCTCTTCCACTGCTTGAGTCCAGGAGGTGAGGAGGCCAGGGAACTGGGATTGGAGTGGGCAAGTTTCTTGCAGGATCCTTGGTCCTGGGGTGCCTGACTGAGGTTGGTTGGAAAGTCCAGCATAGGGTGGGGGTGGTTCTGTAGGGCCCCTGTGCATTTCTCACTTGCTGTAACTGGTGAGGTGTTCCTCCTTGCTGGTGGAAGGTGCAAAAATCAGAGGGAACCAAGGAGGAGCATGGGAGGTGAGTCTAGGGCAAAATAGGGTGATCCCAGGACTGTGGAGGACCCTAAAGGGACAGAGATGGAGCCTTCAGGATGTGGAGGTGGAATCTAGTGGGAGAAGGAAGAGAGGTTGGGATGCTCCCTAGGGACAAACTCAGGGCTCTGAAGGAGGGCAAGGCCTTGAGAGTGGGGCTGAGTCCCAATCCCTCTCCTTCATGCCTCCTTGTCTCTTCCCCAGATAGAAAGTGGGGAGCAGGAAGCCAGAGTTTCCAGAGTGGGGAAGCAGCAAGTTTCACCCACTTAATGCTCTCAGCAGGAGGCTGATGCAGAGGGACAGGTGCTCAGAGTGGAGATGTCTATCCGGACATCCCAGCTCTTAGCTTGTACAGAACCAGTAGCTCAGGTTCTGATCCCCACCTCACTGAGGACTCAGGGACTGAAGGGGTGGGTGGGTTCTGGAAGGAGTTTGTGAGGGAGGGGTGTCCTCCCACCCTACCTGGATCTTGGCTGCACCACTAGAAAGAAGATGGCCTTCTCCATCCCTTTTGGCTTCTGGCTGTGTGCAGCCAATGCGTGAGTCCAGGCAGCTTCCCCTCCATCCTCCCCCCACCTGGCTAGATGTGGGACCCACAGGGTTCTGAAGACCATCAGCCTGCAAGAATGGGAGGAGGATGGGAAGGTGAAAACACTCAGGCCCAGCCTGGCCTCTGCTCCCTCCCCCCACTCCTTTGTTGTTGGTGTGGGGAGCAGAATTGGACCCCAGGGTCTGAGAAAACCTAGAAGGTCCATGCTGGCAAAGGCTGCATCAAACATTAGCTCCCCAACACCCTCATTGTATAGGTGGGGGCACAGAGACCTAGAGACAGGGCATGCCCTGGTCAGATCATACTGCCAGTTCCTGAAGGCATCTTGCTAATTCACCCTGGTAGCCATGGATCTTCCTGGAGGGAGGGCAGCTCAGCCAATTGTGGATACCAGATCTCCCTTTGCCTGTTAGCTGCTCTCCAAGTCAGGCAGTGGAGAGATGGGCTGCTGGGCTCTGGGGCCAGTTTGTCTGGGTCTGGGTTCAACTCCAGAGCCCCTATTTCCCAGTGGTGTGACTTGGGGGGAAGTTACATAACCTCTGTACCTTAGTCTCTTCATCTGTAAAATGAGGATTATAGTATCCACCATACAGAATTAATTATGAGGCTTATATAACACAGGCTGAGTGCTCAGACAAAGTTGTATACATTTAGCTGTTGTTACCATTACCATCCTCCAAGGTGACCAGAATCCTGTGACCACGCAGGAACCTGAGGCTCCTCTGGGGCCCACAAAGTTTTGGGGTTCTGCTGAGGCCTGAGGCTTTTGGCCACATCTCAGGTCAGTGTCCACTTAACAGCCTGGAATTGGGGTCAGAAGCCCTGTGTTCAGGGCTTTGTCACCAATTAAGTGGATGACCTCATCAAGGCTTCTCCCTCTCTGAAGAGCTACAGTTTCTTCATTGGTGAAATAGATGAAGTATGGAAGCTGTTAGGAGGATCAAATGCAACATGGCTATGGACTCCAGAACCTATCCACGTATAAAGCAGAATTCATACCCCACATAGAACTTAGTCCCTTGGTCCCCTGACCCAACACTGGGATCCCTGGGGGGAGGCAGGAGAGGGAAGTTCTTGTGGTAACTGCCCCAGTGTTTTTCCATAAAACCATAAGCATTTTCAGGGGGTTCTCCTTGAATCCTCACAACCACCCTGTGAGAAAAACAAGGCAGGGATCAGTAGCGCCAGCTTTTAGGGGAGGGAATTGAGGCTCAAGAATGCTATGTGGTTGCTATCCCAGGTGTTTGACTTCTGGCCCAGGGCTCTTCGCAAGGGAGCAGATGCCTAACTTTGCACAGCTGGGACCCTGGGGACTTCCCAGGTCCAAGTGCGACCATTCTCCAACATCGCCTCGACTCCCCTGGGTTGAGGTGATGATCTGGGCCACCCCTCCCCATTGATAGGTTCACTAGGGACATGAAAACACAAGCGTCCCTGAGGGACAGGATGAAGGGCATTCCAAGGGTCTTGAAGGCCCTGCCTTTGTGGGACCAAGGTTATCATTAACTAGGCTAAAGGGGGAACTAGGAAGAAATTACATTGATGCCATGGACTCTGATGGCTGCTATCACACTTAGCACCACCATAGCTATGACCTCTTCAGTTCACTATTCCTCTGAAGTGTGGGGAGGGAGATGAAGAATGAAGAGGGGGTTGTTCCAGACAGCTGAGAGGAGAGGCATGAAAACACTTTTTAAATGCTGGAGCTCAATACCATAGGAGGGATTGTTATTCAGAGGCCTGGGGCACATCTCCCCTCATGTCTCCCCCTTAGAAGGCCCTGCGAGGGCCTCCCACCAATTACCCATCTCACACCCTTGCTTCTCTATAAGGCAAAGATTCTACAAAGCTGGGAAAGGAGTGCAAACTTCCCTCAGGCTGGATAGGGAGCTAGGGTGAAGATAAAGCCTGGAAATGCCCAGGGTTGGGTGGGGTTAGAGAGGAACCCAACAGGGCTCTGCAGAGTTAAGGAGGTTCTGCCCCACATGATGGTGCCTGGCTAAGGGGGTGTGTGGAGATTGAAATTCAGCCATCAGTCCTGCTGTAGGGCTGTATTCACCCAAAACAAAGAATGGCAAATGTGCCATCTGGACAAGCTGTACCACTGATCCAAGCTGATAGGCCTTTACCAGGCAGAGGTGTGGGACTGGTTATATTTAGCAGGATCCCCAGGATTCTTACCAGGAGTTTCATCTCAGCCCTATCAGGCACATACATCTTAAGCCAGTGTACGCTTCATAGTCAAGGGTCCTGGAGCCTGAGGGTAGGGTAAAGTTGGAAGAGAAAGACCCTCAGAAAGATAAGGATGGAGATCGCAAAGCGAGACACGAAGAAGGAGGCAAGAGGGGCAGACAGTTTCAGGAGCTTTTATTGAAGGTCCTCCAGGGAGGCGCTGGGGCCATGGAGCTTAGTGCTGGACTCTCCGAATGGACTGCAGCTGCCCGGTGTGGGCTTGCGTGCCATATTCACTGTAGTTACGGAATTCCCCTCCATGGCGGTCCCGCTCCAATACATACTGGTAGCCCCGGTAGCCTGGGTACTGGTAGGCCACCCACCTAGGCCAGTAAGGGCATGAGGTTGTAAGTAGGCTCTGCCCCTACCCTAAGCGATTTCCTCCATTGCTACTCCTCCTTTCTCAGCTCCCATACCCCGGCTCCAATACTATTTTCCCTACACGGATCTCCCCTTGCCCTGCCCAAGGCTCCAGGTCTTCCTAACACCTTCCTTACCTCATTTCCTATTCCCACCCCCCACTGCTTCCTCATCCATGTTTTCAATCCCTTCCCCTATCCCCACATCTCCCCCCACTCCTGTTATCTTATTTCCTGCCCTCTTCCTCTTCTCCATTATCTCACTTCCCCTTGCCTCTAAGTCTCCCACCACCTCACTCCCCCCTTTCCCCCAGCCTGAAACATCTCTCTTTACTGTGTCTCTTAGCACTCCCATCAGCTTTCTCCACGCTCCTCCCTGGTTCCCACTGACTCCCTTCTCTTCTCCCCCGTTTCAATCCCAGACTCACGCTCCAGAGCTGACTTTGAGGGAACCCACATCCTTGCTGGCCCAGCCCATAGAGGGCAGGGATGGGTAGTCATCACTGAGTTCAAACTTGCAGCCCTGGAAGTTTTCCCCCTCAAACAGTGTCACACGGCTGTCACTGTGGTTCTGAGTCACAAGAAGGTAGGGGTAGACAGGTCAGGCACTCTGAAGAGGTGTTAATGGATACATTCTCAGTCCCACTCCCTTCCACTCTGCTCCCAACACAAGCTGGGCAGACAGGATCCACAAGTACATCCAGAGATCACTCCATCAGCTCCATATCAGTCTGGAAAGATAGAGTGCTCAGAGGTCCCCAGCCTAGTCTCTTCTATGGCTTTGGGTTGAGGTGGTGAGACTTGGGGGTTCCCAGAGACCCTTCCAGGTAAGGGCTAGAGGGCATCTTATGACATGGACCTGTTTTGCAGGAGGAAAATCAGAGATCCTGGGAGAAATCTGGTCCACTAAAAAAGAGTTTTCCTAAGGGCCTCATTGACTATCCAACCCCCTTCCCAGCACCCTGGGCACAGCTTCTCTTGGGTAGGACCCACCTAAGGGGTGTTGCGTGGGGGAGTGAGAACAGACAGGCCAGGTTAGCACCTGCTCTCTGCCCTCCACCCCATAGCCTCTGGCCTCATCAGTAGGGTACATAAGTCTGCACAAATGGGAAGTAAGATCTTCCCCTCCAGTGTATTAAATTCATTACCAACCCTTCCCCCCGCCCCCAAGACATAAACACAGAGGCTTACCCGTTTCAGGCTTAATGCCTGATTGAGTTCTAGTCTCATCTTCATGTTAACCCTTGTGACCTGGGGCAAATCAGTTTTTCCCTCGGAGCCTCATTTCCACACCTATGTATGAGGCTAACCGCAGCCACCTCGACCTCACAGAGCTATGTGATAACAGAGGCGCTTCATATATGTGGACAACAGGATGTGAGGAACGGATGGGAGTTCAAAACTGGCACGCTACCGACGCTGTCCGTGGTGCTGATTTCCGACCCCTGGCTTAGGCCCACATTCCAAACTTCCGGAATCCACTTTCCAAACCACTCTGGTTCTGAAGAGTAATACCACTACTACCCACCCAAGGACTGTGTTTACACACCCCCTCATACAGTGAGTGGATGGTCTTTCCCAAGTGCCATGGTGGGGCCAGGGCCTGGAGTTAGGAGCTAGGATGCAGAGGAGGGGCAGGGCTGTGCTTACCGCGCAGAGCACTGGCCGGAAGGAGAGCAGCTGGTCGCTGTGGTGGCCAGCACTGCCACTCCAGGCGCTCCAGCGAGGATAGTCACCCTTCTCCAGAATGAATTGCTGTCCCTGGAAGTCAGGGTACTCGAAGGCCACCCAACTGAGGAAAGATAAGGGAGGCTGGGAGGCATCTGCCCCAGCCTCATTCTTTCTTCCCACTCCCCCATGCTTGCCATGAAAATTGATCTTTTTCTCCACCCTAGACTTTTGCCCTGACACACACATAGCAAGGCAACCCAGCCCTTGTAGAGGCTAAAGATCCTAAGCTGGCTGCTATCTGGGGTTTGAGGGGTCCAGTCTTCCAGCTCAAGGCCCCCAGACTGGAATGAGTTTTCCAGTCTACAAAGACCGCCTGACAAAGCACTCTTACTTCAAGGACTTAGGTCGCTGCAAAGCTAGGCGTAGGAATCCCCAACCTACGACAGCAACCTGTGATAGCAACGGACTGCAATATTTCGGATACCTCAGCTCTCCAGAGGGCCCCAGGCTCTAGGAGGCCAGGGTAGGGTGAGCAGAAGGGATTTGGCCTCTTTTTTAAAAGAATCGCAGAGCCATCTATCTAACTTTGAGGAGTACAAAACTACCCTGGGAACCCCTTAAGGATTCAGGCTGACCCCACGGGGTCCCGCAAAGGATCGCTTCCCACCTTTATCCCTTTAACTCACACGAGGATACACGCTTTCTCATGATTTGTCTTGATGCTGGCTGGGAGCTTCGGGGAAGCCTAGGGATTTTCCATGTGGGTGGGTCTCTCTCAGGCAGGACTTGAATATAGTCTGGAGAACAGAGGGCTGGGAGCCGAGCCGAGCCAAGGGCTCAGACTCGGAGCTTGCGCCAGGAAGCCTGGCGCCCCCCAACCTAGACCACCCGCGGGGGAACAATCACTCACGCGCCATTTTCCACCTTGATTGAGCGCACCCGGCGCAGGCCTCCTCGCTCGCCGATGTTGGCGCAGTCACTCAGCAGCCGGCAGCGGCGGCCCTGAAAGTCCTCCTCATCCCAAAGCGTGAGGCAGGCGGGCGCTGGGCCCTGCGCAGGGGCACTGCTCATGCCGCTGCAGACAAGAAGGATGGGACCAATCGCTCAGCGTCTAGAAAGCCCCCTCCCAGGCCCGGACCCTCCCAATCAGGGTAGGAGGTGAAGGCTCCGCCGGCTGGAACCGGGCTGCTAGTGGCTCTCCCCCATCTCTCCCTTTCTCGCCCGAAGGGAGTCCACCCCTCCACCAAGTATTCACCGGGTGGGTGAGCGCCGTAGTGTCCGAAAATGGAGAAGTTGCGCGCGGGCTGGGTGTGCGGGGCTTTATACTAGGTTTCACCCCCGCCCTGCACCCTCTCCCGCTGCGGTGGGGGGAGCTGAGTCAGCGGGCAAACTTCGGTCCGCGCTGATGTCCCCCGGAGAGCCGAGGCCTTTCCCGCAGCCGCTGACCTGGCCCCAACCCTCGGATATTACAATAGAAAGTGCTGAGGCACACGTCCCGCGCCCGCCACAGGCGAGGCTGACTCTGCTTTTTCTTTTTGGGGGGCCTGAGCCGGGCAAGGCGCACCCTCCCTGGCACAGACCCTCGGGGACAGAGGTACCCGGCCCACTCTTTGAGTTAGGGCGGAGCTAAAACTGTGCCTTCCTAACTCGAGGCGCGGAAGTCCTTTCCAGCGTCTAAACGCCACCTTTTCTTCAGCCCTAGGTCAAGACCTCTCTTTTGGGCGACTCTTGGGAGGAAATAGGCAAGACTCCTCGCAAGCGACTTTCCTTACGCCCTTCAGTCCTCTTTTCCCTGGAGGATGGGCCATCGGGCCCCCTTTCCTTCCAAGTTCCCAGACCTGACGATGAGCTCCCGGTGTTTTTCCTGCGCAAAGGGGCCAAGAAGAGGTAATGACCAGGACTCGCCGCAAGGCGGCGCTCAGCGCAGGAAACTTGAACTACCCGAGGGAAGAAGCGGATTTACAAAGCGTTTAGGAATAAGAGTAAGCGAGTGGCTTACTACGGTAGGTAGAAAGAGCCTTTCAGCTTTAGGGTGGCCGGAACCGCGACGCCACAAGCCACCAGAGCGAGCTCCAGGATCTGGGGCCTCCGGTCCTGACGTCTGCCTGGAGCTAGCAGCTGATAATTGAGCGCTTAGTTCAGGCCAGACTCTGCTCAGAGCTTTTACGTGCATGATCTCAGCTAATTCTGGCACTGACCGGCTGAGGTAGGTAGGCACTGTCATTGCCTTGCATTTCATAGGTGAAGAAGCGGCCCAAAGGTGTTCTGGAACGCAGTCGGGGGTGGAGGAGTGGGGCGGCAGCCACCCAGATAACAAGTGGCCTAATTGAGGTACAAACCCGGGCTTCTGTTTTGACTGTAGGCCTTAGGCTCTTACTTTCGATCCTAGTGCCACATTTGGGGCAGGGTGAGGAAGGTGGGGAGCAAGGAGGGAGAAATGGAAGGGAAAAGGTTTGCAGCCCCAAGGGAAACTCCAGGAAAAAATTTCCTCACAACTTGCAGCAGAATTTCCTAACCATCACAGCTGTCAATTGTGAAAGCTCAAAATCGTGAGTTTTCCTTAATGGAGTGGGTATTCTAGCAGAAGTAGAGGAGCGAGTGAGAAACAAATATCTTGTTTTCACGAACCAAGTGCTTTCCTTACAGACTCAACAGTCCAAGGTCGTAGGTTTGAGTGAACAGACGTGGAAACTGGGGCTCCAGGAGGTACGAGGCCTTTTCCAAATCCACATGGCTAGCCAGTGTCAGAGCAAGATTAGAATTTAGACCTTTTGACTGCAAAGCCAGTGCTCTTGCCACCCAACCTCCTGTGACTAAAGGGTTGGTTCACAAGCCAGATGCAGCTGGAAGTCTAGCCATGCTGGCCTCTATGTTTTCTCGAACTTCCAAGCTCATTTCCAACTCATAGCCTTTGCATTTGCTTTTCCTGTTACCTGGAGTGTCTTAGTCACAAGATCTTGGCATGTAGGCTCCTTTTTTACTCTATAGGGGATGCTGTTCCTGACATTTACTGTCCATCACATCACTCTGTTTTCATTATAGTATTTATTACTCTGTATATTTGTCTTTTCCATCTTTTGTGTATAGATGTACTGAGTGTCTGTTTTTGTACTGGAGTGTAAGCTCCATTTAAAGGGTCAAGGGCTGTGTCAGTCTTGTTCTCAGTTGTTATCCTCCAGACTAGATCAATGCTGGACATATAGTAGGTGCTCAATAAAACTTCTCAAATGAGTGAGTGAACAAGGTGGTCAGGCTGGGCTAAAGCCCATGGGGGAAGGGGTGTAGAAGAAATTCTCCAGTGAGAGTAGGGGGTGATGGTTTGCTTATCCTACCAACCTCTCCACCCCTAAATTTCTGGCGTGCTGAGAAGAGGCACTGGGGAAAACTGGCGTCTCCCTTGGGTCTCTATTTTCACTGGTGAGGAACTGCTGTTGAGGATCACATGTGTGAAGGTGAATGTCAAAAGTAAGAGGCCCTAAACATAGGGAGTAAAGTCCAATTTGAAGGTTTTGAGTCAGTGAAGGGATAACCACAACCAGGGTTGCTTGGGGATGGATTCAGAACCATGCCCAGATCCCTGACTCCCTATGCTAGATGGGGTTTGGAAAAAGAGGTAGGGTGTAATCTCCCTCAGACCAAAAAGAGGAAATACAAATTATTGAGGGAGGAAAGATTCAGTCCTGGACTCTGTGTCCTGGCACTTGGCTCGGTTTCACAAGTCGGGGCTAATGGGAGCGGTGGGAAATGAGGACAGACTTCCCCCTTCTCTCGTCCAATCCCATCTCTATCCGGCAATTCTGCATTTGGCCACCTGAGGGCGCACGGGACCGCGCTGGGTGGAACGCTAGCGCGGTGGGGCGGTTGGAAGCCGGAGTTGGTGGGAGGCTGCGGTCGGGAGGGGCTGCGGGCGCGGGTGGCGAGTGCGTCAGGCTGTGCGTCTGCGCCGGTCCGTGACGCGGGCGCGGAGTGCTAGTCCCCAGGGTGTGAGGGTGTTTGTTAGAGGCTGGACGATGTGTTTGCGCGGGCTGAGTCTGGGGGTCTGGGAAGGCAATTTCCAGTCCGGGTGTTGGTGAGAAGTGACTGTATTCCACAGAAGGGATGTGGGGGGAGAGGGGGAGAGGGGAAGTGGTGGGGAGATAATACAGCTGAGATCTAAGTTAGACTTAAGAGTCGGGCTAGGCTTTGTGGTGGAGAGCTGTGTGTTAGAACAGCCATCGCTCTCCTAGTCCTGAATTCTGATCTTTTCTGCGCACTAAGTAACTATATTGCACTAGCTAGCCTCTCCCCTTCTCTGCCTCAGTTTCCTCATAAGGAGAATGCTGTGTAGGTCCCACCATCACCACCCTATTGTCCAGGGCTTTTGGTTCTGTCTTCACCAGCTCTCTCAGAAATGGGCATGCCCACCAATACTGCCAATAGCCAGTTGCCCAGAAGATCTCTAGCCCTCTCTGGGGCTCCCCACATCCCCTAGACCCCTCCCTGGCTCTGGGACTCATAGTCACCAAGAAGGGGAAGAAAGAGCCCTTGAAGAGAAGGTGGTGCTAGAATGGGGCTCTGGGATCCCTGTCCCTTTTTTGTACTGTGGACCCCCTGCCAGCCTTCTTTCTCCACCAGGCTGGTGCACCTCCAGTTCCCCAGGCCTCCCCAACTCAATCCCCTACTAGCCCCCTTTCAGCCCCCAGCAGCTGGTCCTGTTTGTTTTCCCAGATGAGTTGAGCTCAGAGCTTCCTGAAGGATGGATGCACAGGTGGCTTTGTTTGCCAACTCAGCACCCTCACCCCTACCTCCTCCACATCCACAGCCTCGGCCTCTGGGCATGGAGCAGAGGCGGGGGGAGTTATGTGGACTGAAAAACAAGTGTCTTCAGGTCTACACATCCACGGGACTCTCATGGCACTCTCATTACTGGAAAGGAACTCCCCACCCCCACCCTATCCAGTCCTTAGTCTCATATAGGGACCTTTGGTCCCTACTGAAAAATCTTCAGGACCCCCCCACACCCATGATTCTACCAAAACACCCATCCCTTAAAGTACCCTAAGATCACACGGAGAAGCCCTCAGACTCAGTCCTGTGCCCACAGTGAAACCTTGGGTTTCATTTAGATCCTCATCCCATATGGGGGAAAGATCTGACAAAGAAACCCTCAAACCCAATCCTGGGCTCACACCTACGTTTCCATCCCAGGTAAAGGCCCTGATAATCCCCAGAGAAGTGACGCCTCCCTCATATTAAGCCTCATCCCATGAACAGCCCAACTTCTCAGTACTGCTGGGCAGCTTAGTGGTGCCAACGTCCTCTCCTCAAGTCGGCCTGCTCCCATCCCTTATCCCTCATTTCACTGGGAAATCAGCCAGGGCTTTGGTGACTGAAGATGCAAATTCTGTGAGTGGTGCCCTCCCCCACTCTGTACCATCACCAGTCCCTCCTTTGTAGCCCTGTTTCTCTACTCCCCACCCCCTCTCCAGGTCTGGATCGAGGAACTGGCAGCGAGCACCTTCCCTGGGGCTGTGAGGTCTGGTATCCTGGGAGACAGAGATAACACGGGTGAGAGACTAGCTCAGCTCAGACAGGGTCCGACAGCTGGGCCTGAAAGAGGTGGGTACTGAGGGGGCAGGAGCCCCACCCACAGAGACCCATTGTCCTATCCCACTGTCAACAGAGCCCTTCTTCTCTGCCCCTCAGTGGGGATGGAGAACTGGCCCCCATCCAGGGAGATGGGAGGCAGCTTTCACCACCACCCACTCACCTAGACATAAAGCCATGGGGCTTGCACAGGGCGGCAGGGAGAGGGCTCACACATGCACACGTTTACAAGGAATGAACCCCACATGCATCACATGTGAACAGTCTCTTCTAGGATTCAATAAACACCTCAGTGGTCACACTCATTTACAAGCAGACATTTGTTCACTCACTGATACCTCAAGTACTGAATAAGATGTACTATGTGCCAGGTACTGTGCTGGATGTTGGAGTCACACTCGAGTATACCTTCGTGCACCTTCGCGTGCATACAACCCACATGACAGTCACCTAGGAAAGATCATCTCAGTCACCCACCCATGAACATACAGACACTGAAGGGTTAAGAGTTCAGCCTCTGGAGTCACTGTGCTGCTGCCAGGGTTCAAATCCAAGCTCTACTGCTTATAAGCTGGATGAACTTGTACTCCTCGATTTTTCCCTCTGTAAAATGGGAGTAATAGTCTTTAAAATAGTCATGAAGATTTAAATGCATGTAAAACCCTAGAACTGACCTGCAGTAGGCACCAAATAAACATGAGCTATTAGTGTTGTGGTGGCTGTGGTTCTAAGTGGCTTTGCTGACTGGTTCTTCTCACCCCACCTGGGGCTGGGCTGGGTTGTGGGGAGGAGTCAGGGCAGCAAGCATAGCTGCATCCTGCCCAGCCCAGTCCCACACTTGTCCTGTGGGAGCCAGCCTAGCACTCAGGATGGGGAGCCTTCCTGCTTCCCCCCAATTAGAGCCACTCTGCTGATGAGCTCAGTTGGCCAGGCTTGGGAGGGTGCGGGGTAGAGGTAGGGGGATCGCAATTTCCTTTGTTTTGTTCAGGCCTCTATTCTCCTCTGAGTAGAACCAGAGATCTGACTTCTGGTCCCGGTGCTTTTCCTGGTTCCATACGTGTACTTGGGTGGGTCACTCCCCATCTTGGGGCCACAGTTTGTACCTGAAATCTAAGTTAACTGCTGGTCCTCGCGGGGCCTCATAGCCATGACTCCTGTGATCCTGTGATGCCTCAGGAAGTCTCCCTTCCCTCCCTATCCAGCCTCTGCCTGCCCCCACCAACTTCCCCTCCCTACACACACACACACCTGGCCTAGCCAGAGTGAGGGGGCAAGTTGCCACTGTCACCATGGGGACTAATCTCCGAGAAGGTCAGTGAGGCTCTGGTTCTGCCTTGGCTGGATTGGGGATTAGCACCTGGGTATGAGCCCCCCCACAACCAGTTCCTCCACTCCCAGGTCCCCTCATCCTCCATAGACCCTGGACAACTACCACGCCCAGAAGTTCCAAGGCTGGGCCAGAATCAGCAGGTAGGTAGTGGGGGCAGGGTAGCTGCCACAGCTGTCTGGCTGTCCAGCTGTGGCCAAGAGAGAAAAGGGAAGAGATGGAGTCAGATCCATGCCCCTCCCTGCTCACGTGGCCTGAGCTATGCCCCTCTTCACCTTCTGCCCTGTAATGGGGTGAGATGGGGCTCCCAAGATAGGGGTATCACCTCCACCTCCAGCCCTGGCTGTCCCATTTGCAGCTCACGTAGAATCCATCTCTTTCTCTTCTGTTGTGGGTAATTCCCCATCCTGATGTGGGCTGGGATGGAGGTTGTTTTCACTTAGCCTATCCCTTCTTTCGCACACATTGTGCCTTCCAGACCTGGTTACCCTGACCTCTGACTCAGCATCTTCAAATCCCTCCATCTCTCTGGAGTGCGCATCTCTTTATGCTTGTCTGTCTGTCTCTGGTCTCGCTCTAGCTCTCGCTTTCACTGTCTGGGGTTAGGGGTGGAGGTGATCTTCAGCCCCTCTGGACCCTGAAATCTTCCTCACACCCCTCTGGGCTGCACCCTCTATCTGTCCCTCTGTGCTTCTGCTTCGGTTCCCCGGTTCCCCGCTGTTTCTCATCCTTCTCTCCTCTCCGTGTCTCAACTGCTGTTTCCCAGTCCCCCTACGGCCGCACTCCAACTGCTGTTTCCCTTTTTCCGCTTCCTCCATTACCTGTCCCCTCCCCCGCCCAGGGTGGTGACAGGGATGACAGGAAGCAGGCTCCCGCTTAGAGCAGGAAGGGGGAGGGAGTAGGGGCCCACCTCGAGCACCAGCTGCTGAGCACTCCCCGCACCTGCAGGCCTGCCTGGCGCCTGAGACTCCGCCCCTGGCCAGGCAGGGGAGGAGGGACCTGCAGGAGAGGCTGGATTCTTGGCCAAGTCCAGGAAATGCGGGTCTTGGGGATGGGGGCGGTGGATGTCTGGGGAAATTAGGCCCCTTTGGGGGAAGAGGCAGTGGCTCTCTGTCACAAGGGCAGATCCTAGCCCACTGGCGGCCTTATTCTTCTCACCCCTCCCCCAAGGAATGCTCTGTGCACTTTTGTGTGTGTACGGAGGGGGATTCATTCCAGGGGGAGACCTTTTTGTTGTGTAGCCCCAGGATCTGGAATCCTAGCCAGAGGGAGAGCGCTCTAGCTCTCTTCCATGATTGGGGGAAGGGAGAAGAAGCCTTCAAAGACACAAAGATGTACCAGCACCCCGCCAGGCCCCTGACAGGAAAATCAATCAGTGCCAGGCAAGGAACAGAGGGCTGGGCCCAGGACAGTAGTCTGGTCAGGGAAGCCAGGATGGGGGCTGCACACATCCAGCCTGGGACCCATGGATCTCCCCCAACCAAGCACCCTCCTGCCCCAGGGCTGCTGCACACAGTTCTAGTCTGCAGTCCACCCTCTCCCCAGACCTGCCTGGGATCTGTCAGAGCCATCTCATCCCCTCCCCCTCCCTTTCTTTCTGCCAAAGACTCAGCAGATCCCGCGGAGCCTGCGGGTAGTTGGGTGAGGGGTGGCAGTGAAGTTGTGAGAAAGTGGAGGGGGCAAGCCAGCACATCCAGGAACATCCAAATTAGAATCAGGAGGGACCAGTGACTCCTGACCCTCATTCCCATCTCCCTGGGGGCCACATTTACCTGGGTGTGAGGGGATACAGTCCCTCCCCATGATGCTTCCTCACCTTTAGGGGAAACTGGTGCTCCTTATTGCTGTCCAAGGAGCCTTCTTTCCACCCCTGACCTACACCGGGCCCCTCCCTCTGAGGCTGGTTAAGCCTCACCATCAGTTTTTGGAGGGGGAATGGAGGACACCTGGAATGGAAGAACAGAGACTCAGCTGGAGGCTCAGACTCTCCCCAGCCCTCAGCTCTAGGCTCTCCAAGCAGGAGGCTACAGGTCTGGTACAGTCTTCCTCCTTCTCCCGCATGTCAGATCTGAACACTTTGAATCACTGGAAAGGGGGGTGGCATGTCCCACATTTGAATTATGGCTAATGACGCATGGACTCCCACCTAATTTGAGGGCCACTTAAACCCATCCCCACCCCCAGCTGACTGAAACAAGAGGCCTTGGGATTATGAATTTTGGGGAAAATGGTGAGCTGCTGTGCCTGATAGCCCCATCAGGCAAGGGCTTCCAGGCCCTATGTTTGTCCTTTTCAATAAGTCTGACAGTCTGTCTCGGACGGGAAGACTAAACGATGGGCCAAGGGTATGGCAGGGAGTGAACCCTCAGGATGTCAGCACCAAAGAGATCCCCAAGAGCCAGACCTGATCTCCATCGTGGTTCTAGCTCCCCACCCCCCAGAATTTCCACACCTCATAGCTGTTGCTCCAACCCCCTGAGGGCCTCCAACTTCCTGGGTCAGGGGGCTCAGTATCACTAAAAGCGCAGAAACCAGGATATGGGGACTGGTGGGGCTCTTGCAGGGGGGCCAGATCAAGCCCCCTCATTGTGCAAATGGGTGACTTAGCCAAGGCCACAGAAATCGCTGCGACAGAGCCAGGCTAGAAGCCAGATTTCCATCTCCGGAAGGACTCCTGCCCTGGGCCACAACCCCCTGTGCCACCCGGTGGAGTCTGCTGGGCTGGCCCTTGTTACCCGGAATTAAGCCGGGCAGCCCAGGAGTTGCGGGCAGGACGTGGCCCGGCGGGCGGGGCCGGATGGGAGCCGGATCTCCCCGAGTGGAGGAGCACAGCCTCCCCGATCCGTATGGCGGCAGCGGCGGCGGCGGCGACAGGTGCCTGCGTGGCGATCAGGCCGGGTCCCCGGGCCGGTGTTGAGAGGCCGCCCCTGCCTCACGCGAGCCGAACGAACAAAACGCTCAAGTCCGGTTTGTGCGAGGGGCTCGTCGCGGGGCGGGAGCGGAGGGCCCGGGGCATGGCTGTGGCCCTCGGTGGTCTCCTGGTCCTGGTCTCCGGCGAGCGCAGTGCCGCACAGCGCTCCGCTAGCCGCTGCCCTCACCTGCGCGCATCTCTGGTTGACACGTCGGCGGCCGCCGCGGCGGCCACTGCATGTGCGCACCTGGCCCGCCCCTCCCTTTCTGGCCGTCCTCCACCCGGCCTGGCCCTGCTTGGCTTGGTCCCCAGCCCACGCCCCGGAGCTTGTGCCGGAGCCTGGGCTCCGCGCGCTTTATACGGCCTGCTCAGTCCCCGCCCCTAGACACACACACACACTCACACTCACACCTGTCCGGGCGCCCGTTTGCTCGGGGCAAATATTGACTCAGAGGAGGCGGAGCGCCCCTCACCCCTCTCCCTGCCCCCGCCTGGGCTTTGGGGCCGGAGCTTCTACGAGGCCTTGGCGGTGGGGGTGGAGGGGGAATGTCGGGGACCTGGGCGCCTCTGGAACAACACCAGATGTCACTTTTCCACCCACCTGCCTGGCGGGGAGGGGTACGGGGGAGGAGATGAGGACAGAGGCTGCCAGGCGGAGGTTAGGGGGAGCGGGAAGTGGGTGTCCTAGGGAAGGTGGGACATCCCCTGGTCTGGGGATTCAGATTCACGGTGGGAGTTGCTTAGTGGGGTCTGTGGCCCACTGTCTAGCGATTGTCTCTACTAGCGTCCCAGCGTCTAGTTCTTGACCCTCCGCGACATGCCTCGATTTCCCTTCCTTCCCAACCTCTTAGAGTCCCGGGAACCCGGCAGATGCTGAGGAAAGCTAGCGGTGAAAGGGCCGAGCTTGGGAACAGTCGCAGTGGGGATAGGGGAGGGGTGGCCACCTCACCCCGCAGCCACTTGCTGCGCAGACCTGGCCTGGGGCTCGGTTCCTGTCCACCAGGCTCCCCTGGGGCAAAGGACAGCTAGGCCCCGCCCGAAGCGCCCTCCACTGGCCTGACCAGGTCCAGTGCCCGGCAGCGAGCAGCGAGAACTCTTGCCCAGATGCGGTGTGGAGTGAAGCGGGGCAACCTCCCAGCCCCTAAGTCTCCAAGCAGTCGACGAGGTCCACCGTGGCCGCTCTTACCACCTGCCCCTCCCAGATTGCGCGCGCAAATTCTTCTCGCGTCGGAGAAATAAAGTCAAAGTATATATAGAAAAAAAGGCTTAGATGCTTTACTGGCGGAGTGATGTGATGGAAAGGGGGCCGGGCGGAACCTAAAGCTGCAAGTGGGAGGGGGTAGGCGCTCGCGTCCCCAAATAGTCGGTAGAGGGCGGCACCGTCGATCCAGGTATCTCCACTTGCTGCGCCCCCAGGGGCGCCACCGGCAGCGAGTCGGGAGTCAGAATCCTGGAAGACAGAAAGCCCCAGGTAGAATGAGTGAAGGGAGAGGCTTCCCCCCAAGCCTGCCGGCCCTTGTCGCCCATGCAGCCCAGTGCGCCCCTCCCGCGGCCGCTGACCCGGGCGTCCCAACCTGGGAACGCTGAGCGGCGGCAGTGCGATGACGCGCGGCCTCGAAGTGAGCACCACCTCCCCGCGGCTCGCCTCCACCAGGATGTTCTGGATCATATTCTCCAGCAGCGCCTCCTGCAGGTTAGCGAAAGCCGGGAGCCTGCAGGGCGGGATGCCAGGGCGCAGGTGTCAGCGCCGCCACCGACCGCACTCGTGTTCCCCGCTGTGCTCCTCTGTGCGGTACCGTGTGCCGCTTGCTCTAAGTGGATTCTCGTTTAACTCCCCGCCCTCCCAACATTATGAAGCATCCTTGTTTCAGCTTCACAGATGTTCAAACTATGGCCTAAAGAGACCAAGCTGCCAAACAAACGTCATGCTGCTGGTACACGTGGTGGGATTCGAACCCCAGGCCATCAGAGTCCCCAACCCTGGTTCTGGCATCCGGCTATGAGATGGTGCAGAAGGGACTCCTAGGGAATCCCAACATGGACAGAAAGCAGTCACAAGGAAAGGTGGTACAAGAAGAGGTGGTATTTTTCTCCTGGCTCTAGAAATCCATTTAAGAGATGTGGATGACTATAACCACTCTCCTGGAGGTTATATGATGGTAAATGTTAATAGCCTGCTCTTAGAGAAAAAAAAATTAAGGCTCAGATTACCATTCTGTAAATACTCCCACTGAGGCCTTAAGTTACCAACAGTGATGTTAATGAACGCTGAGTTGGGAAGAGAAGGGCACACAGGTAGAGGTTGGCTCCAGCATATTATTGCCTCCTAGGATCCTTCTGTATTCAGCTCCCCCTCCAAACCCTCACCTGGGTCTGGCTGCTCACCAGCTGATGGCCTCCTTCTCGTCCTGCTCTTGCTTCTCCTTCACTAAGGCTTTCAACCGCTGCTGCCATTGCCATTTCAGGGACTCCTGGGATGTGGGCTGGGGGGTGGGCTTAATCTCCATCCAGGGCGACTTCTCTCCCTTCTCCTCCACCTCCTCTTCCTCCAGCTCCTCCTTGCCCATCTCCTCCTCCTCTTCTATCTCCTCCTCCAGCTCTTCCTCCTCTTCCTCCTCCAGCTCCTCCTCTTCCTCTTCATCTGTCTCCTCCTCTTCCCTACCTTCCCTCTTCCTCAGCTCCAGTTTGTCCTCCTCCTCCTTGTCTTTGCTGTCCTCTGAGCTGCTGGAGGACTGAGACAGGTCTGGCACTAGGTGCAGGTTGCTGTTCTGGACCATGGACCTGGCCGACTGCTCATTCCAGAACTGGCAGAAGTAAGGCATCTGCTCCACTAGGTTTTGGTCCACAGCTTCATGGAAGATCTTGTCTTCCAGAAGGCCCCTGGGTGGCAGGAAGGAGGGGAAGGTCCTCACTGAGAGGTCTTGCAGCCCTCTGCAGGGCTCTGGCATCAGGGTTCCCCAAGGGGCAATTCTTGACTACTGCATTCACAAACAAGTGCTGGGTGGGGGAGGGGAGCCCTTGATCAGTTGCCCCTTTTATTCCTTTAGAGAAAGGCATCCCCGGGCCCCATGGATCCTTAAAGGTGAACATTAAATGGTAGAGGAAGAGCAAGGAGGTCAGAGTTACACAGATGAGGGCTGGAGCCTGGGAAGACAGCAGTCTACCAGACCTCATCCACTAAGGCAGAACTGAGGACCCAGCCCTGAGGATCCCTCCAGCCACCTCCATTAAAACTGCACCAACCTGGAGGGCCTGGGGCCACCAGTGGAAGGATTTTAGGAGGAAACTCTATTTTTCAGGAAAGAAAGGGCTGGGACTTCAGGGGCTTTGGGTGGACCCAGCGTTGATGGAATGGACTGGAGAGATAGAGGGTGAGGGTTTCCAGGGTGGGCAGTCACCTGATGATGGTGGTGAGACAGTCAACTAGGAGCTGCTTCTCCTGCTTGAAGACAGGGGCCCACTTGTCAGGGGATTCTTCCTCACAAGTCTCCGACTCCTCCCTGGGGCACTTCCTCTTTGGCAGCTCCCTGGGGCAGGCCGTGACATTGAGTGGCCTGGGCAAGCCACCATGCTGGGGTTGGGGGCACGAGCAGTGGTGGTGACTACCCAGCCATGAGGATTTATGTGAGTTCAGGGCCGCTCCCTGCCTTAACCCAAACATAGTGCTTTTGCTTTTTGGGAACCAAACCCAACCCTCAGGGTTGGCACAGGACCAGATGAGGCTCCAGGTTGAAAGAGGAAGGAAGGAAGGGATGTGGGGAGGTCTAGGTGGGTTCCCCAGGGGGCTCTGGCTCTTTACCCCCTTTTCATAAGAGCCTAGGCAGTAATGGGGGCATCCTGGGCCCAGCAGTGCCCCAGTAGTCCCACTGTCGCCGCTGCACTTGCTCCAAGCCCTCAGCAAGGGTTGGGTCTGGGCAGCCCCCGTTCTGGAGTTGGGGGGTGGGGTAGAGAGCAGAGGAAGGAGCCCCCTCCCTCCCCAAGAGTTCACCGGTACAAGAAGTGGCTGGGAAAGTCGGAGAAGAAGTTGGCCAGGAAGTAGTCGGTGGCATGGGCGCGGGCAGTGAGGCTCAAGCAGAGCATGCCTGGCAAGGGTGGCTGGGGGCACTGCCAGTGTGTATCCTCCTTCCGGATCTTAAGGTTCCAGCTGGTGAGCTGGTTGAGACACTGCTGGTTCTTGATGGGGGGAAGTGTCTTTGGGGAAGGAGAAGCATGGGTAACAGGAAACTGGGGACAGTACTCCCATTGCTGAGTGGTCCCAAGCCCCCCACCTAGGCCTTCTGGGCCACACAGGGGTGTGACACCTCCACCTCCCAACCCATTGGCACTTTCATCCCTCCTTTCCAGGAGGCTGGACCAGGGCTTGGAGGTATCTCTGGGGAGTGAGCAAGGACCCTCAAGTTATCCCAAGGAGATGGGCCCGGGCTTACATCCTCACCTTGTACTTCCTCGCAGGTTCACAAGCTGTACAATATGGCCTTCTCTGTGGAAACAAAGAGACCTCTGCTTAGGGTGTCCTCACCTTTTCCTACCCTTCCTGCTGATCCACGGAGGGCCTGAAGTCAAGGCCAGGACCTGCTGTCCTCTTGGTCCCACCCAACTCCCAGCCACACCCTCTTCCAGAACCTTCCCTAGGGAAGGACCGCCTGCAGACAAGGAACATCTGGTTACCCAACAGAAGGAAAGAAAAGGAGATGCCACCAAACATGGTTTGAGTTTCTCCAAGGGTGCTTGTCCTGGAGTCCCGGAGCTTTGTGGTTTGATGTGATAAGGAAACAGTCTCCCTTACCAAGCCTTAATTCCGAAATTCAGAAATCCTCTCTCCCGCCCTCAAGACACCATCCGTCTCCACAGTTGGGCCAGAGCTATAGAGGGGAGCAGTGCCTCCCTGGGGGTTCAGTTAGGAGGCAACAGAGGCAATCGAGGTGCAAAAATATTAGTGTGGGGAGGCTGTGAAATTGGGAGAGGAACCGAGGTGGATATTTTGTCTTGTGTTTATTATTGGTCTCACCCTCCCCCACATAAATACTAATAGCCTTTGTTTAGTGAATGTTTACTGCATCCCAGGCACTGCTGTAGGCACTTTACATGTATTAACTCATTTAATTCTCACAGCAATGCCACAAAGCAGATAACAATTTACTTGAATTTAAAATATTTTTGAAACTCTTATTTTTAATCTTCTTAATATGGAAAACTTCAAAAGTATACAAACGTGAAGAGAATGGTACAAAGAATCCTCCATTACCCATCACTCAGCTTCAACAATGAGCAATTCATGGCCAATCTTCTCTCATCTATACCCCTTCTCTGGTTTATCTTGAA